ATTTGATTAGTAATATGCATTGCTAAGAACTTCATTTGGACAACTTTAAAGATGATTTTCTCAATATTTAGATTTTTTTACACCCTCAGATTCCAGATTTTCAAATAGTTGTATCTCGACCAAATATTGTCCTATCCTAACAACTATTCATTCAGCTGTCAGATGATGTATAAATCTCAATTTTGAAAAATTGACACTTAAGACTGATTCTGTGGTCCAGGGTGACATATCTGAATGAATGAGCTGATGAATAAATTGCCCCTGAAGACTCTCACCATCTCCAGCTGATCATCAAACTCCTCGTTCTCAACGGTCTTTATTAAGGGCCTGAGCTTCTGCTTCAGTCTCTTCCCGTCTTTGGCCGGCAGCACGAAGCGCAGCCGCATGTGAGCTCTCTGAATCTGAATGGACTGCTTCAGCTGCTTGATGACCTCGAGAGCCTGCAGAGACGGGCAGACGCTAGCATTAACCACAGAGACCTCGTCAGCGACCGTGAGATCCTCACACGATCCGGCTCTGCTCACCTGCTGTTTAGTGCTTTTGTTGGCCTTCACAGAGAAGTGAATGTCCTTCATGGCTCTCTCGATGAGGATCACTGTATAGGGCCGCTTGGTCTCGGGATTCACACATTTTTCTGCCACAATAGTTGCGATGTCTCGAAACATCTGCTCCAGCTGACTCTGTCGCTCCTTGTCTGACACCTGTAGCTCTCCTTTAGCTAAAATCTGCACATAAATGAAAACTACCCAATTATGTAGAAACACTTAAGGATTTGTATTAAACAGTCTTCTTATGATGCACACAGTCAGGACAGATCAGACCATAAATCAGCTGTACGCAACAGCAAACTGACCTGTTTGCATACTTCTGTCACGTCGTCTGTGCTGAAAGCGCTTGACAGGTCGTCTTTCTTTGCCACTTGACCCTTAGACACATTGACAAACACTGTGTTTGTTTGCAGGACTTCATCAAGATCCTTCTCCCTATAACAACAACAACAGTACAGTTGATTTGTGAACATTACATTAATGTCACTTAAGAAAATGACAAATTGTCTTAGAAAATGGTTGTGGAAATTTCCATTATATGACATTATACTGTAAAGGAATAGTTTTCAGAAAATGAACATTTGCTGAAAATGTCCTCACCCTCAGGCCATCCAAGATTAGGATGAGTTTGTTTCTTCATCAGGTTTGGAGAAATGTAGCATTGCATCAGTGTCTCAGCAATGGATGCTCTGCAGTGAATGGGTGCCGTCAGAATGAGAGCTGATAAAAACATCACAAGTAATCCACAGCACTCCAGTCCATCAGTTAACATCTAGAGAAGACAAAAGCTGAAACTAATCCAGCATTAAGACGTTTTTAACTTCAAACTGTCGCTTTTGGTTAAATTACAAGTTAATAATCCATGATAACGCTTCCTCCAGTGAAAAAGTGCATCTGCTGTTGTCTCTCACATAAAAAATCCAGCCACATATTTGTTTAGAGCGGTTTAAACGCTGCTTGATCTGTGCAGATTTCTCTCCTGATTCAGCCCAGACCACTTTTTCACTGGAGGAAGAGTTATTATGGATTCATATTTTAGCCTGAATTGATGGTTTGAAGTTAAAACCTCTTAATGTTGGATTTGTTTCAGCTTTTGTCTTCTCCAGATGTTACCTGATGGACTGGAGTGCTGTGGATTACTTGTGATGTTTTTATCAGCTGTTTGGACTCTCATTCTGACGGCACCCATTCACTGCAGAGCATCCATTGCTGAGACACTGATGCAATGCTACATTTCTCCAAACCTGATGAAGAAACAAACTCATCCTGATCTTGGATGGCCTGAGCTAATTTTCATTTTTGGGTGAACTAAACATTACTATTATAATAATCAAAAACTCATATTTATTGTACAGTTCAACTGTATTATTACAATAGTAATATATTTCTGCCATCATTATTTGTATAATTAGAGATACTAATAATGTAAAAATACTTTTTATCATTCATGTAATTTACTATTATTATTATATTCAAAGTCAGTGTTGTTTTGAAACACTCTGTTCGGTTTGATCGCTGAAAGCTCTTCAATTTACATTGAACTTGACAATGTAACACTAGTATTAGCATAAACCAGCAAAGACACGCAATGAAAAATCCTCAGTGTTATAACGCTTATGTAACACGTGTAAGGCTGTCACGACAGAATCAACACAACACGAACACAAAGACATTATATAATGAGCACGACACTCACGCTCCAGATCTCCAACTCATCACTTTGTTCTTGTAGCAGGCTATTTCAAACCTCTTCCCTCCTTTCTTCATCCGCACCACGGCGACATTAGTCAGCCTGATCTGGTTAGTAGGAGTGAATATCGACATGTTTGACGGTCTTCGGGTTCTCGATGCGCTTCTTCCCGTCTCTCATTAACCGCGACTCGCCGCCGCAGCGCCTCCTGGAGGATTGGAGTCACACAGCGCATCTGCTGTGTACAAACATCTGATAGACGTCTTTAAAGGGATAGTTCACCCAAAAATGAAAATGTGATGTTTATCTGCTTAACCCCAGGGCATCCAAGATGTAGATGACTTTGTTTCTTCAGTAGAATAAACATCACATTTTCATTTTTGGGTGAACTATCCCTTTAAAACTTTAATCCGTATTTGTTCAGTTTGATCAGCAGTTCTTTACTCAATTAAGTTGACTAATAACAAAAATAAACACAAAGTGTTTAATTAAAAAAAAAAAAGTCAAGCATTCAAGCACATAGTTGGCTTTTTTGGAAACAAGTGGGCGTGTACACATCAGACTTCACATATGCAATTAAACAAACAAAAATAACTATTATAATTTTCTAATTTTGTGACATAATATATAACAGAGTGTTTAGATGAGATATTAACCTTGTTGGGAATTTATAAGAAAACATTTTGTTTCACCTTGTTATATTTTTGCAACCTAGACTCCTAAACGACCGAGGAAAGTCTACAGCAGGGGTGCCCAAACTCGGTCCTGGAGGGCCGGTGTCCTGCAGAGTTTTGCTCCTGTCACTCTATGTTTTGTTAGGCGATGGATCTATGCAATCAGGAATATATCGCGAATTAGTTATTTATTTAAAGGAAACAGGATTGATTAATAGGATGTAGGATACCGGTCTTGGTTAAAAGGTTTTGTTTTTTTTTTTGTTTTTTTGGTAAGATAGCTCTTGTTTCTAAAGTTGCTATTCATTGTGCGCTTCACACTCCTTTCCAGTAGGTGGCGGGAATGCACCTTTTAAGTTGGTTTGCCAACCGCCATTAAATCCTAAAAGAACAAGAAGAAGAAGACGCAGGTGTGTTGAGGCAAGTTGGAGCTAAACTCTGCAGGACACCGGCCCTCCAGGACCGAGTTTGGGCACCCCTGGTCTACAGGGACGTGAAGACACGTTGTGCCATCCAAACGATTGCATAACCCTCACCCTTTACCCGCTGCACTTTGAAATGGATGATTTGACGTTGCATATTCAGCATTACAAAACCTTCCATTCGAAGCGTCTACTGCATTACCGGGGGGGGTTAAAGTGATGTAAACCTTACTCGACATTAAACTACCACAACGCGAAATGAGGACACACTACTACATATATAAAACAGTGATTAAAAAACACTACAGACACATATGACAGTGTTTACCCACGTAAATAGGCATAAATTCACAAATACTGCACGCGTCCCCCCCTCGGCGGAATGGACGGGTCGCGCGTGAATGACGGAGAGTTCCGCATCTCGGGAGGCGCTTGTCGGGCAGCGCTCAAAGTGAGCAGGTAAGGGCTCTTCTCAAACTCATGTTTTAAAACTATCTTATAGAGTTGGCATCAGCATAGCAGTCAGCTTAAGTTGATTAGATCTTTTGCAAAAAATGATTTGCGGCGGATAAGTAATGCATCTTTAGTCCTCACTTTGTTCTTCGGTTTTATAGAACTATGTAAACACATAGACCTCACACTGCTCATATCATTTGTTTCTTCTGAGAGTTTATTCTATAGTTTAGAGTTCCCACGTTTGCTCAACATTTTAGAATATGCATACTGATTTCCTAATTATAATTCACTTTTTCTTTTTTTTACACTGGCAAATTAAATGAATTAATATAATCTGTGGTGTGTTCTATATTTTTGAGTTTGTAGAAAGTAGCTATTCACGGACTAAGTGTTAATAATTTGGCTTATGCATGGATTTACATGTTCACTGTTGAATTTCTTGTTTTTAAGTGCAAAAAAAAAATGTGTGCGGATCTCAATGGCCCTTAATATACTAAAATACTTAGGTGTGCAGTCTGTTATGAAAACCTTAAACTGAGTTGGATTTCAGTTTTGTACAACAGTAGCTTGCAAAGATGGTCTGGTGCACTGCACTTTTTTTTCTAGAGATCATTAGTAGTTAACTCTTTATTTCTATCACAATGAGTGGGTTGCTCTGCTGTGACATGGTAACTGTGATATTGTAATTTTGAGCTGGGTCATGGTCTCTGTCTGATGCTGAGCATGCAGATTTCTCAAACACGTGCTCTGATGTATTTGTCAAATGCATGGTTCCCGATTTTTAATTTTCATGATGGAAGCGTGAAATATAGCCAGTCATCTCATATTAATTTCGCTGGATTCGCTTTTCCTCAAAGGAGCTCCTCTGTTTGTAATCCTGACATCTGGAGGAGAATGAGCATTTTTGAGCAATGGGCTCCCACTGGGATTTCTTTTAGATGTTCAGAATGAAAGAAAAAGATTTAATTGAATTGAAAATGTCCTCACCCTCGGGCCATCCAAGACGTAGTTGAGTTTGTTTCTTCATCAGGTTTGGAGAAATGTAGCATTGCATCAGTGTCTCAGCAATGGATGCTCTGCAGTGAATGGGTGCCGTCAGAATGAGAGTCCAAACAGCTGATAAAAACATCACAATAATCCACACCTGCACTCCAGTCCATCAGTTAATTCTTGAGATGCCAAAAGCTGCATGTTTGTAAGAAACAAATCCATCAGTTTTTAACTTCAAACCAAAATATGAATCCATAATAACTTCCTAGACTGAAAAAAGTTGTGCAATGGTGGATTTGTTTCTTTCAAGCACACATCTTTTCTCTTCTCAAGACATTAACTGATGGACTGGAGTGCTGTGGGTTACTTGTGGATTATTGTGATGTTTTTATCAGACTCTCATTCTGACGGCACCCATTCGCTGCAGAGCATCCATTGGTGAACAAGTGATGCAATGCTACATATCTCCAAATCTGTTCCCACGATGAAACAAACAACTACCGCATTTAGCGTTTATGTGCTTGATGAATCTGACAATCATTGTAGTCCTTCAGCAACTCGCGTTTTGAAAATAATGTAATTTCTGTTGTAGAACAAAGCATGTAAGTCTGTTCGAGTAATGTTAGCACAGACATATTTTACTCATAAAACAAAAGCTGCTTTTTTAAAAAAGGTCATAGGAAATCCCTGCGGTAAGCATGGCGAATTATCCTTCTTGACTGGCCTACAAATTGACATCATGACTGAGCGGCTCTATTTGCAATGTCACAACAGTATACTGGTGTGTTTCTTCAGACCATGTTAGTGTATTAGACAGTCCTTTAATTGAGTTCACACTGGTTGTTACTGTGTCTCAGGGGCACTTATTACTGCACTGATGGGTTGCTATGGTGGAGACATGGACTTTGGAGCCTGAACATGGCATTGCTTGTAAGCAAAGCTGTGAGATAATAGTAGTGCTGTTTGCCATTGGGTGATAAAAAAAAAAAGGTTGGATGTAAATTTCATAGCTGGACCGGCTTATTTAGGTTAGTTTGTTTTGACTTTGAAAGGCCTAGTTCACTCAAAAATGAAGTTTCTTTCTTCTGTTGAACACAAAAGAAGATATTTTGAACAGTTTCTGGTAGCCATTGACTTTCATAGTATTATTTTCCCTACAGTGGAAATCAATGGCTACCATCAGCTGTTTGTTTGGTTACTGTCCCTTTAAATAACATTTAATAGAATGTTCACAATAAGCTTTTGTTAAAGAGTTTCTCTTTGGATGAATCGTGATCCAGTGATTAGAGTGTAATGTAAATAATGATGTTTGCAACCAGAGAGGATATGTTTTGCGCATATCGGTTATACTGATTATGAGGGACAGTACCAGTATGAAAGTTTAGACTGGTCATTTTGACCTTTTCCCAAAAATGCTAGTTGATGTTATTGCATTGGACTAAAACTAAGACTTTGCTCACACAGGGTTTAATTATTTATATACATAATAACAACAAATACAGGGTATAATAACTTAAATATATATTTTTTGCAATTTTGAGATTTTTTTTTTTCCCCAAGAATTATTGGCCTACAAAAATTGCTTATAAATTTCTTGTTATCACTCATATTATTAATAACTATTGGATTCAGTCTTTTTATGAACTTGTTTTCTTTCAGTCAGCACAGTTTCGAAGCTGACTAGTTCTCATTGATCTGAGCTTATGCACCTCAGTTTTTTGGGTGAATATTGGCAAAATTATCCACAAATAATGCGTCTTTCACTCAAAAACTCAGATTAACGAGGCCTGCAATCAGTCTTTTGCAAAAATACAAAACCTGTGCTCTAATTAAAAGAAAGCAAGTTTAAGATTAATATACAAGGTGATTAATTTACCATAATGAGAGATTTATAAGCAGTTTTTCGTTTTTTACCAGGAACACTAAATTAGGCAATGGATTTTCAGCACAAGGGTTAAAAAGAGGGTCATTATAAATGAAACTTACTTGACGACAACAGTTCCTACATGAAAATTGTGATATTTTGTCAAATCTAGTGCATACTTTGGTTTTTATGTATTAGTTTTTCTTTACTTTAGATCAAATTCCCCTTACTAAATTACATCCATGTACATGGATCAGACATGCGATGTTTGCAAAAATGTCCTTTTTTAGAAAATCGCAACGTTACATCATAATGTCAGCTGCTAATTCTGCGAGCTGTTTCCTCTCTCGCAGCGGCGCTCCTCGTAACGATGGCAGACACACCGGAGCTGATGGACGAGGACGAGCCCTTCTTCAGTAACCTGGACATCTTCCTCTTCTCTCTCATCGCTGGCCTGCTCGTCTACTGGCTCATATTCCGCAAAAAAGTCGAGCCCATCCCGGAGTTTAAAAAACTAGAGTCTGTGTAAGTCCCTCAAAACCGGTCCTGTATCGCTTCTCATGAATGAGGTGTAAAATTGGAAAAACATTAACTTTTTAGCTTTTTTTTCATTGTGTCATGTGTGAATCAAACTGTGCATAAATTGCTGGGTCATTGCAATTTATTGTAGGAATTATTATTTTTATTTTTTTTGTCTAAATCGACTGTAATGAGAATTTTAATTTAAGTTCTGAAGCATACACCATGATAGTATGTGTTGTTGCACCAAATAATTTATGCGAAAAACAGTGTGTTCAGACAGT